TAAGTAACTTATTACTATGAATGGCATGAAAATGGCAACCTGTCACAATTGATTTTTTTCAATCTAAGTTTTTTTATATGTATATAATTATCTTCTTACTAAATAAAGGTCTAGTTTATAAAAGGAAATCTCAGGTTTCAATTCATGATAACTGAGATGTCTTTTTAATAGCTCTTAGGAAGGTTATTGCTTGAGATTAGTAATTATTTGCATAGTTTTGAATGAAAAACTCCCAAAGAGGTTGAGATGTTCTTTATCAAGAATTAAATAATCATAATAGTTTTCTGACTATAGGAGAGAACGTTACAAGCTCATATTTGGGAATCAGAAATTCTACGAAATAAAAAATATCCTAAGTTCTATTACAAGTTTAGATAAGATAAAATAAGATAACCTTTATTGTTATTTTTTTTACTGTGGGCACAACAGCACACATCAAAAATGAAATTTAGTTGCCCGCTCTCAAAGTGAAACACATACATGACGCACACCTAAACATACTATGAACAACATATGCATAGACCCACATCCCTACATATATGTAGCAAATAAATATTAAATACTGTCCATCTTGAATATATAACGGAAGGAGGAAGCTTGAGAGTTCACAAGGTTAATGCTGTATGGAATGAAACTATGGCTGAATCTGGATGTTCTGCTACGGATACCACGAAGCCTCCTCCCAGAAGGTAACAAGGAAAACAGGTCATGAAGAGGATGTGTAGTGTCCCAGATAATCTTATGGACCCTGCTCAAGCAACGCTTCTGTGCTATGTCCTGGATGGGAGGGAGGGAATTGCCAATGATCTTTTCGGCCATTTTCACCACTCTCTGCACCACCTTCCTGTCTGTTTATTCAAGTATTCTCTGGCTGAGCCATATATTTAAATTAATATCTAAACCACAATGCTGTAAGGATAATTCTGTATTGTCCCTCCTTCTGCATAGCTATCTCTCTAACCAAGGTGCAAAAGAATTCAAGGACTGCAGTCTGGGATAATGCTCAACACTCAGCTGTTGGAACGGATTGAACTACATTGTCTTTGTGGAAACTATAGAGACAACGTTTGTTCATCAGAAGATCTGGGACTATTATTTAATCCACATATGTATGCCCAGAAAAAATAATTTTACTTTCTGAGACACCTTTTTGTTTTTGTATTGTTCCTGGATTTCCGGGTAGCAGATTCCAGGGCAAGGAACAAATAACAGCTGTGTTATTCCTGAACTGGTTGAACTGACAAATATTACCAATGCTCTCCCCAAGAAAATTTTATATTTTGTAATCATCTCTATAAAAGACTATCCTTCAAGGCATCTAGAGCTCATTTTAAAATAATATAAGGCAAATAGCCTGCTAATCTAGGCAGAAAACAGTGATCATACCTCTATTGAAAGACCTGTTTATTTATTTACTTATTTGTATTTCGTGTTTAGAAAGCACCCATCTTCTCACAGAGTGACTCTGGGTGGTATGCAAATAGACATAAAAACATAAAAGCTACATATAAATATTATAATAAAAACAGTTAAAAACAAGAATAATTAAAATGAAAATTCAAAAGGCAGAGAAGGGGCTTCAGGATGCTAACCAGTCCCGTAGCTATGTGCTCCTCTGTGGGCCGTAAGCAAATCAGCAGAGTCAGGTCTTCAAGCATTTCCTAAAGGTCAGGAAATTGGGAATGTTCCAAAGGGTGGGAGCAACAGCAGAAAAGACTTTCTTTCTAGACCCACCAGTCAAAATCCTTTAACTAGTCTATAGCAAATCTTCTTTGCCTGACCGAGTGGGACAGGTTGGTGTAATGGGGCAACAACATCTCTGCAGGTAATCTGGTCTCATGCCATGCAGGGGTGTAAAGGTGATAACCATACCTTGAAGTGAATCTGGAAACAAACTGGCACCCAGTACAGCTCATGCAGCAGAGGTGTGACATGTGCCATCCTTGGGCCACCCAAGATTGCTCGTGCAGTGCATTCTGAATCAGCTGAAGCTTACGGGTGCTTTTCAGGGATAGGCCCATGTAGAGCCCATTGCAATAGTTCAGATGAGAGATGATCAGGGCATGAAATTATATCGGTTACTAATTCTTTCCCAAGTTCAATCTAAGTGTTTGGGTTTTTCATTTAAAGCTATACAAAGCTGAGAGTTACTTAATACATAGAAACTGCTTAGACATTAAGAAAGGAAGAAGATGCCATTCTGAAAATATCATCATTCACTGAATTGTGTGCTTGATGGACATAAGAAAGAGTATTTATTGTTCTTAAGTTGTGAAAAACATCCCATTTGGAATTCTATTCTCTCTGTTTTTGGAACAGATATCAAGACTTTTCTCCAGTTTAAGTTATTGAAAAGTTTTAATTATATTTTTATTATTATCTTAACCATGCTTTTCACTACCAAATGGCTGTATAGAGGAGAAAATTTATAGCTCAGTATTGAAATGAGGAGTCCTTGGTGCTCTCTAGGCTTAGTTGGTTTCAACAAGCCAACAAGGGAACAATCAATAACCAGATGAGCAAATTAACACCAAGATTAAACAGTTACTATTTACTATTTACCACCAGGATGACTCCCACCAACACAGAGCAGGGGTGTCAAACTGCCGGCCCGCGGGCTGGATGCATCGTATCAAAACTGCGGCCACCCCATTGCCGGCAATGGCAAAAAAGTCGCGATACGTCACGACACGTCACGTGACGTTGAGAGTTTGACACCCCTGCACTAGAGTATAAAATGAGAGCAAACCCCATTCACCAACTCATGATGTTACCTAAGTGGTAATATTATTTTCTATTTTTTCTTTGCAACAGAGTGGCTCTTTAAAATACTTTACACACTGCTAGTATATAGCATATTTAAAAGAACATTTTATATTGAAGTTTTATTGTTGTATGCAATGTTAATATGTTAAAATAGTACATTATCTATCACCTAACCACAAGCAGTCCTTGTTTAGTGACAGCCTTGTTTAGCAACTGTCTGCAGTTACAATGATGAAAAAGTAACTGTAGGACAAATCCTCATGTTCATGACTTTTGCAGGTTTCTAAAGACGAAAAAAGAAAAACTGAAAATCATAAGCATAATCACAAATTTGACAGAGTTGTCAATCCCAAATGTGCTTGCTAACCAAGTCCCAGAATGCTGGCTTGTTTTGTTTTTTTAATATGGAAAGGCAGTGTCATACAGATTATGTTGGACATAATGTTTCAAAGCTTTCCTGTGGATTGGCCTTCAGTTTATGAAATATTATCTTTCTTTTTACTAAGAAGAGGCAGATCTGCCCCTCCTACCTGACTGTGATATAATTTTCTCAACTCAGTAACATCAGTAATACTTCACTCCAAATCTCTAGAAGATAGTTCAGTTTTATCTAAATGATATAAAACACAAACTAAAGATCTTTGCAAAGCATCAGTGGCATAACTGTCATAGTGATGAACTGCAGAAGACTAATTCCCAACCATTTCAATAGCTTACTTTTGCTTTTGGCAATAACTGCTACTGAAAGGTTCAAGTTTAGTAACAGCCTGAAGCCTTTATTTCAATCTCAATCCCAGCTGACAGAGAGAGAGCCAGTTCTGTGCTAAAAGACAGGTTAGGGATAGATCATCATGAAGAAAATATATCTATATAGTCGCTAGTAGTAAAAAAACAATTTGATGGAACATAATCATACGTGCATATGTGTGCATGCCCATGTGTATATATTCACACATGAACACCCATGTCTCAAAGGTGCTGTTTTCTTCAAAAGGCAACTGGACTGTTTTTCCTTAAGGAAGAAGAAAACATTTTGCTTCTCACCCTAGAAGCTTCATCAGTTCTGATGGCGGAAGGGTGGAAGGATATGGAGCACCTATATGTACACATACCCTTTCAAATACCAACTCAGTGGCATTTGGAAGGCATGAGAAAGGGGGTTACCATTACAACAGTGTTTTAAAAAAAGAGGTCTATGATCTAAGTGACAGAAATCCTATTAAGTAAAGAAAAATAGCATGTCTATTTAAGATATGTTTTCACTGTCTCAATCCCTATAACAAGAACCTTCAAATAAAAAAGCAAAAAAAAAGTAGAGTCCTAATCATTTGACTAGCTTTCTATACCTTCCACAATATTTTTATGGCTTAAATCCTTAGTACCTTTTAATGCTCTTTCTATTGTTCGCAATCACAATCTCTCTCTTTTTTCCCTGCCATATTATTTCAGGCTACAGAGGGAGTTAATAGGCACAAAGCTTGTTTTCAATAATTCTATTGGATTTACAGCAGAACAGGACAATCTTGAGATCATAACCCAGTCTGAACAACATAGCAGTAAATCTCATCATCAACTATTCTCTGAATCTTTCGGTACGCTTAGAAAAGCATCTTAGATTTTTAAAAGCTAGTTTTATTCATGGCTAAAAATAACGAAGAGCAACTATGTACTTCCCAGCTTACAAAGGTGATCCTCACCTATAAAATAAAAACATGCATGGAGAACTGTTTTTTATGAAAAATAAAATCTACCAACACAGTTATCTGTTCTAATCCCTCTGCTATTAACATCATAAATTGGAAGAGGTTCCCAATATACCTCTTCCAGCAGTGGCAGAATATCAATGTTAAAAAACAAACAAAATATAAATTATCAGTATAGATAACATATATTAAGAAAATGTGGCAAAAAGAAAGATGGAGCATGCATGTGCATGCACATAACATCCATTGGCATCTCTTAAATTATTTCCTTGTTGTTGCGTGAACCCAAAAATGAATTTAAAGAAGAGTTTTACTTCTTTAGAGGACTATTGCCGGTGGTATTTGACTGCCCACAGATAATCCAAATCACTTTTTCTCCTTCAAATTCAAATTAATGCACTGACCTAAAATAGGTGACAATAAAAGGAACTTAATATTTTATTTAACGTTTAAATATGTTTTCAATAGGAAAAGTTAGATAAAATAGTAGATATGTTTGTTTTCTTTCTATTAAATCTGAAACCAGCTTACCTTATTCTTTGGATTTGATGTGTTCATTACACTTCGAGTCTCTTTTCCAGTGTAAATAACAACACCAATTACTGTTCCTGGAACAAATATAAGAGTTATATGAGAATGTTATCATATTTGTACTAACTGAACATTTCAAAAGGAAAAAAAATAAGATGTAAGCCTGTGTCACTAACTAATCTAAAAGTTTCCCTTCAAGTTTTATGACATAAAAACTGGCTGTTCTGTGCATTTTTATTCATTGGATATCTAAAATAGAAGTATCTTCCATGCCAGCATTCTTCCTTTGGTGGACCAGACTTTAACACCAAAGTCATGAATATTAAAACTACTTTTTATTATTGGGTTGCACTAACAGAATCTTGTAACTTTGTATGTGCTTTTACCCTGTCTGCCTTTATCTGAGAGAGAACTAGGAAGCCTCCAGTCTGAGACACTTTCTCAAACTCCGTTCTTGCTTTGAGGTGACATTTCTCTTATCTGACTGATGCTTTGGCTGCAGCAATTCCTCCTCTTCCTCAAGGTTTTTCTTACAGCTTATTAAAGTTGTCTTTAAAGCAGTCCCATGAGTACATTTTAGTAGTAATGATTCTACATAATGCAACTGCATAATTTGACATGATCCTGACATTTTGTTGAATGGGAATTTGCAACTCTCCTTGTGAAGCACAAAGGCCAGAAAACATCCAAGTATAAGAATTTCATTTCATTCTTATTCAGATTTAAAATGCTTTCAGATTATTCATATCAAAATTATCTACCATCATTTCTAATCTATCATTATGTAAAGCTAATGAAACAATGTAAGGACTTTTTGATGAATCAAAAGAGAACTTTTCCTGACTGTATATAGCTATTTACTTCATCAAGCTGGTTAAAGAACATGGGAAATGTTCAACCTAATAATACTTTTAAAGAGCTGTGGGAAGTCAGCTCCCCAGAGAAGGAAATATTAAAAGGGCAGAAAAATACATTTCCTCAAAAGGATTTTAAAAAGCAGAAACCAACCCTGCCCCCAAGTCTCTCTGTCCCAAGCAGAAGCCAGCCTTGTACAAATGCAAATGTAAACCATCAGGAAAGTTGGAGCCAGAAGCTCAAGAAGACAAAAGACCTAAAATCTGCATACCCCACCTGTGACAGGACATGGTAGGATTAACTCACAAAAGCCAAAGGGCACACTCAGACTCAGGTCAGAATATGTGACACAGGAAATATCCTCAAAGTTCATGCCACAGGAACAGGAAACTATTCCAAACAAAAGGCTAGAGAGGGTATAAAAACCTACTACCCATGTACTCGGGCCTTTTTTTCTCTGGTCTTTCCTGCAAGAACCATCTTCAATAAACTGCAACCTTCTTCCCAAAGCAGTCGGCATGTTGTTTATTTATCCCCGGCTTGGATGAACCAGGATGAAGACTTTTCTTTCAACAGAGCATAAAAGTAGCATTTGGGAATATGGACAAGTATTAAGCAAGAAAGAACCTGAGTACTTAAAAAAAAGGTGTATAAAAATGTGAAAACTGAAATACTGCCTTTTTCCACATATTTCCAAACTATGCATATTTTTTTTACCTGATGCAACAACAGTGCTTGCCCATAGTGTATTTTCTATGCTTAGGCTCTCATGAACAGTTGGATCACTGTCTTCCTGTAAAAAAAGGAAAAAAGGATTCTAAAATTGTATTTCATAAGTATAGATTTATTTACAAATACGTATAAAAATATAAACATCAGAATAATGACTCAGAATAGAAAAAATAATGCCTGTATGTTATCCAGACTTATAATAAAAGAGAAACAATAATTTCAGAAAAATGCATTGTATTGTATCAAATTGGTATAGATGCCCACCTTACATCTGTGACTCTGTGTGCTTCACCTAACTAAAAACCACCAAATAATATAATGAAACAAAATCCAAAAATCAGTAAAACTCAATAACCCCAATGTATTGACTTAGTATCTGGAGCAGGGTGTAGAACAGATTTTGGCTCAGTTCTAACAAGACTTAGTGGCTGTGGCTGTTTGGGGTTAATGTTGATTATTTGCTCAAGGGCCTGTTTTGTTTTGCTGATTTTGTTGTTGTCTGGGCTGTCTGTTTGATTTAAAGGTTTTTTTGCTGCTTTACACTAGTTTTGTATGTCTCCCTGACTCCACTGGCATAGGGTAGTCAATACATACAGGCATACAAACAAACAAAGTAAGTATTGATAAGAATCTAAGAAATGCCTTTTATTGTGTTTTGTAAAATATCTTTTATAAAAACTCTTGCTTATGGGATATTCCCAGCCAATTATATCAGGAATATTTTCATATGTGCATATGTAGGTATCTATTAATTCCCCTATTCCCAAATCTGACTTCTGTAAAGCATGCTAATAGACACATCTTTAACACTGGCCTCCCTCACAGTCTGGAACATTCATTGTCATTAGAGTATCCGGTAACTGAAGTTCCTAAAGTTTCCAGACTCTGCTATTAAATAACAGACTTCTATGCAAGTATACAAGCATTAAAGACACATTATCTGCAAATCATATCCACTGTTTGTAAAAATATATATTTGGGAACTGGCATTGAGATGTTATTTTGTAAATTGAATATAGTTTTCAGTGAAATTATAGGCTTAGTTTGCAATAGATACCTGGGGCGATGGGAATAAATTCTCCCAGGTAAAGAGAATTAACCTGTGAAATCCTGAGGAATTATGAACTTTTGAGCTTTGAACTAAATATCATTTAATAAGGAAGATTTACACTCACAACAGTACAACCTAACTAGAACATATCAGCCATTGGAAATAAAATAATGATCCAGGATTTACATATATTGTTAACACACTGGAAAAGAAAAAAAAAACCACAGTAAACTGAGTTTGCTACTCAATTCCCTTGCTACCCAATAGCAACTTTTATCTATAAAACTGTTGCCTGGTAGCTAAGAAGGAAAAAACCTGCTTTTATTTTGTCCTTCTCCTCCAACATCTCCTTATCAACAATATGCAATTTTATTTAAAATTAAAGTAAAAATTCAACTGACAGCAGATAAAAACCTGTAAGCATTCATGGGATCTGCTCTATTTCAGAGAAAAATAGCTTGTTAAAAAATTAAGGGAATTAGTAGTTGAAGCTCAACTATTTTTTTTCAATTACAATTTTTCCACCTAATTCATTTCTAGAATCTGCATTGGACTAGAAGAGTGCTAAGAAAAAGAGTCTGCAGAAGCTAATGATTTATTTGGCAGGGCTGTGGTGTGGACAAGTGAATAGATTAAACTCTGTCTACTCTTCCTTCTCCTGAAATGCTAATAAGCATAAACAGTGCATTTTAAAAGAATATCTGCATGTGTAGCCACAGCATGTGAATCAGAAACTGCATTTAGCCATTTACATGAGCATGCCTTTACTAAACTAGCAATGGGTACAAAGAAGCCTGCTGGGTAAATGGCCACTTACTAAATGGAAGCATCTGCTTTTCCCTGATCTTAACAAATTATGATAAATAACAAGTTTTCTTTTAATATTCTTTTATGTATTTGAAAAATATCAATGCATTTTCCAGTTATAGTATGATGTATGCTGCAATCAATAGGCACTGCTTGAAACTTGATTGTGATCTGAATTGTGCAGCTTTTATAAAAAAAAACTTGGGTTCTTATCTGGAATACATTTGCAAATCCCATTCTCCTTGAATGGCTTTTATTTTGTTGTGAACCATCATCAGAATATGGATGAGTCTATGGAAGAAACAAATGTCACTTCAATACTTATTTCTAGCCCATATCCTACATAGCTCTCATCTCTAAAGTTGCCATAATTTTTGAAAAGTGTTTCACATGCATAAGAAGGTCAAGTATAATGGAATAGTATCAAACTACACTAAATGCTCATATTATGACTATTCAGAGACATAATTAACTTTAAAAGTATTTTCTCCTGCGGTCATTAATTGAGACAAATGAATACAGCAAGAGTGAGTACTTACAGTAACTACTTACCCGTGTAAAGGTACCTTCAAAGCTGTGAATATCCATTTGAGGCTTTTGTGCATAAACATACGCACTGATTGAAAACAGGTCCTAGAACACAGAATTTTTAAAATATCTATGTATGTTAATGATAAATCAATAAAGCCTCAATTTCTCTATCCCTCACATCTAGTTTATCATGCTTGTATAGAAACAATAAAGCAGAAATTGGAGAATGGAAGTTATTGTACACTATCCAGAGTTAGTCTGAGTTGGGCTGAATTGTCTGAGTTTTCTTAATTACCTATCTTATAAATCTTGAACGAATGAATAAATAAATGAATGCTTGAATGAATAAATCTAGAAAGTAATAACCAAATCATGGGTTCTAAAGTTTCAACTTCCATGCCCAGCAAAACATCTACATTTTAAGACTCTTCTAAAAAACTAGCAGGGCTGGAGACAATTTAATCTCAGGTAGAACATATGCCACATAACAGGTATTGGCAAGGAAAGGTCCCACATAATGGACTCCACAAGATGAATACTACCACTCTAGTTATATAGTCCAGGACCTGAGGGGCAGAAGGGATTTCTGCACCGTAGGGAGCAGCAGTCCCAACTGATTCTTGGACCCCAATCTAATAAACAGAGTTATACATCCTGGGGGCAGTCCTCTGATTGTCTCCAGAGTATCTTCGATAACAATGGCTATCTCTTTGCTGCCCTGGACTCTCAACAGGTGCCACACCCAAAACTCAGGTGGGCACATCTTTGAGCAGGGAGATACCTCCCTCAATGTCCCTCCAGGGTTCAGTAATGTATACCAGATGACAGTTTTATTGCAGGCTAACCCGGCATTCAGCAGCAACAGTCAAAAACCAGGTTGGATGAAGGGGTTGGATACAGGGGACTGAAATACAACACTAGTAAAAGACATGTATTTCCCAAGTATGATCTGCCTCTTGCCATACCTTGCCTGTTTCCCCCTACACACACAAACCTTCCATGAGGGCCCAACTCCAGGCTAAGGAGTGCCAGCTGCATTTCCTACTAAATACCGCCTGTCAATTAGAAATTCTGTCCCTCATGCATATTCTGTATGCTCCTAATTGCAGCTTCTCTTAATCTCAAGTTTTTGAGATTTCCAACACCAAGCCCCCAACCTAATATAACCCCATATCAGATTATTATCACCACTGAAGGAGGGAACAAAGGCAATTCAGTGAACCTTGGATTTAGTAGGCCTTGATGGGATGAACTCCAGATGCCAGAAATGAAAGTACCATTGTGTCATTTTTGTAATAATGTTTCTTTATTCATATAGTTGATTTCAATACCTGCCCACCTCAACAAGTAACTCTGGGAGACATACATCATAAAACATAAAAACAATTAAAATAGTACAAAATAAGTATGTAGGGCACCAAGTAAAACTGTTACTATGGATGGTAATACAACGGGGCTTTAAGACACTAATTGGCCAAATGTGTGTGAGACTGTCCTTTACTGATTTAAAGGAATAGTGTGAGTAATGTAACTGGTACTGTAACTAATATCTGTGGTTCTCTACAACATTATACATATGACTGACAAATGGGAGTCTTCAAGGCTGATGCTTCTTTAGACTCAGAATTGGCTGCCTTTTAACATTTACTAGTTAGAAAAGATGAATGGAAAAGACACCCCCCCCCACCCGAAAATAAGACCTGGGTCTTATTTTCGGGGAAACACGGTATAAATGGCTGGCATCTTCACAACAATTTACAATGTGCTTCTCTCTAAGGCACCACAATTAGAGACTATGATGCCTGATCCTGCAAGAATGACATTCACATAAGGAGGTGTTCAAAGTTAAAGCACTGTGATTGCTTGTAGAAATGTGGAATGAACAAGACCAATCTCATGTATGGATCTAAAAAACTATTTATTTATTAAATTTGTATGCTGCCCCTCTGCTCTAGAAGGTGTCTCTTGGGCAGCATAAAAACAAAAACTTAACACAGTTGAAATAATATGAAATTGCTATGGTAGTTGAAGAAAATCTGAAATATGTATGCATAGGATAATGCACAATGTATATGGGAGTTCATACCAATATTCTAAGCTCCAAAAGTTTCCAAATGGAGAGCCTAAATGTATCATCTGCAGAGACCATGATGAAGAACATGATATTCAATAATTTCTTAGCAGTGTTTTTTATGGTCTAGCCTCTCTCTGAAAATGTCTATAAAATTATTTCTAGCTAATTCGGATGTTTAATTTTTAACACGTTAGAATATATTGTTATGTTTACAGCCTTAATATTTCTAAAGGCCAAATAAGCCTTTACTCATGAGATTATTTATGAAAGCTGTGTTGCATAACACTGCATTTTATTAGGTTGTTATTATGTTTTATATTTACATTTAGTAAACACAGATGTAGACGAGTGGTTTTCCTGTGCCCACACAGTAAATGGCTAACTGCATTTATTCTCTATGCCAGCAAATATATCCAGCAAGTAGGTATCTTTATCTAGGGACAGATTTCAACATGAAATTTCCTCACTGCACCTGAAGAGTCATTAGGCATTACAAGAACAGTACTCACCTAAGGATCTGCAACGGTACATCCTTCTGCTTGTTTATGCAGTCCCTCTCCCTTTTTAAATAGGGATATAGAAATATAGAGCTTCCCTGCCTTTATCATGGATCATTCATTTAGTATAGACAGTGCTACAAGTAGAGTATGCTCAAAGATACCTGGATCAGGGCAAATATATGCCTATCTGAAGTATTTTGTAACAGCAATGCACAAGTGCCTAATTAAAAGTGGTATGACAGCTAAGTAAGCAAATGTATTGGTATGTGTTCCATTTAATTTTAAAAGAATGTAACTCTAACTACACTTTTCATTTCAGTTTCTGATTAATTATGTATATGAGCTTATCCAATTATTTTATTCATATTTTAAGGGCACAAATCATATTTCAACATCTTCCACTACAAATCAGCTGTTCTAATGCTAAATCATCAACCATTTATTGTAAGCTTTCACACAAGCTTCCATTCAATGCATTCTTGTTCTCCAAAGTTAGTTTTCATCAGCCTCTTGAGAAATAATTCATATGAACCTAATACACATGCGGTATCCTATATCTGCATCATTCATTTCTTCTCAATCTGTTATCACCTACAATTTAGATAATCCAGGCTATTATGTGCTTTATTGTTCACAGAAAAATAGGAGTCTCAGTACGGCAGAAAACTAATACCACACACATACTCATAATACAATAAAAACTATTAATGAAGTGAGCCAAGCACGAAAGTTTTCTTTCTTTACAGACTCCACACTTTGCAAAAATTGTTCATCTGGGAGCAAATGAGATAATTTAAACATGTCTTTTATCTGAAAAATAAATATTCAGTGCTCAAAATTGTCTCAAGAACAAAGAGAATCCTATTTTGATCTATAAAAATTAGGTATGTGCCAAAAGCACTCATGGCATACTTAAACATTACAACTAAATTTAAAATAAATTAATTATTGCCCTCTACTAATTTTATATTTCCTTTTTAAGGTCATTTATACTTACACTATGAAATCTTTAAAATAGTGTTGATTATTTTGCATTTCCCCTTTATATGAGCCAGAAATGCATATATTTTTATGCAAATACTAAGATTTTCTATGTATGGGGAATTGACAACACTTTATATTACAAGTATATACAATTTTAATCATGATTTTGTAATTGCTTATAACTAAGATGAACAATCTCAGCAAAATATTTTGTAACGGTACACCTAAGTATTTCCAATTGTTCCTGAAACAATTAAAAGATGGTACAATAATAACATTGCTTTCCTTCCTTCTAAAATAATAATTTAGAAATCACTCTGGAGTTATCAATAATATAGAAAAACTTCCTCTATTAGGTCAAGGGCAACATTTGTTCACCTTACTTAAAGATCATTAAAATACATCCTTAATCATAACATGTAGTTCATTACAAATAAAATTGCTTCTGGTTCAATAAAACTAATTAAATGTAAATGGTATTGTTTACTGCTTTATGGATCTTTTGATATAAATCAGCAAGTCACTATTTATTGAAAATTACAGTGACCTCATTGCTGCTAATAAATTTACTTGATCACTTAGGCCAAAGAAGCCTATTCAAGAATATGCAGTGTAGAAAAACACTACTGCGCATATAACTATGAAACCAAGAAACCTAACCTGGGTGTTACAGTTCTTACAGCTCAGGCATCATTAAATGACTTGTTGAAATTTTAATTCTCTGATCGCATTAAGTGGTTCGGGAAGACAAGAAAATCTGTACTGATCATCTTTGATGGTGTCATCTGTTCTTTAAGAAAGCTCTAAAGTTTTGCCTCTTTATTTATTCCAAGTACCACTGAAGATAAAGTTGCAGTCTTACACTGATGATGGAATTGACAGCCATGATAATACAAGAGACATTTGGAAATGAATGACAATTACCAACAGTATATTAACTACAGTACAGTACAATCCAACTGCTTAATCCAATACAATTCTTTTTTTTCCTCTTTTAAACATTATTTTATCTATTAAGTTTGTTTTTATTGGTGTTGGTTTTATATGTTTTGCAGTCTTTGTAAGATGAATACTCTTTGGTTCCACCTTTTCTGCTTAAATCTGTTTAGTAGAAATCTTTTTTCATTTTGTTCAAATAATTTATGTAAAAGAAATCAATTTTTAACTAATTTAAATCCAGAACAATTTATCAATAAAATGAAATATTATCCTAAATGAAATATTATCCTATGAACTAGAGCTATATGCTGGTTATTAACATCAAAATTAAGCTGAATTTCAACAGAGGTTTAAACACTGCCCAAAAGCCATGTTCTAACATGAAAAACCTATTTAGTAATCTGACGTATTATTACTTCTCAATGAAAAGGAAAAGAACTCTATTACCAGTCAGAATAGAGTTGCTAAAATAACCATTGAATGTATATTTTATTAAAATTATTAATTTTCATTTTTGTTAGCAAATGTTTTGTGCCAAGCATATATTAAAACATTCACTAAATAGCTTTTTACCACTGAAAACTGAAATGGTTTATTTGGTAATACGATAGTATTCATTTGTTTAAATCATAATCTTTTCATTCTCTACAACCTGCATGAGTAAAACTGATGACAGATTTTGAGTGTAGTAGTATTATGAAAAAAGCTGTACAAGAATACAATAAGCAAAAATTAGGAAAGAAGGATAAGCTTGAAGGATCTCCTCAGCCATTTTAGTAGCAGCCCAGCAGGTGGCATTCAAGAATTACTGTAAAACAGGAATCATCCATTCTTTTTTATATTCTAACCACAAAATCCTTACAAATGTTGACAATATGTGGAAGATATTTGACAAGCTATTAAATATCAGTGACTATTTCCAAGATATCTACAGATTGCCAGGATCTGTAGTACTCAATGCAGTAGGATTTAATGAAAATCCATAATTTGATTTTCAGGAATGTAAATTGCTGTTGCCATTCTCTTCACTCATTTATTTGGTGCATTTTTTGTTATTGTGAAGATGATAAAAAGCAGTCATAATATATAGTGATAAGCTGACCAATATTCGGATCCTAAGACTTCCTAAGAAATGCAGTTCTCTCTAGCACTATTCCCACTTTCCTATAATGCCTGCCTTCTAAGAGTCTTCACAAAACAGCAGTGTCCTCAGCAAGCCATGTGTATACAAAAATTGTATGCATGTGATGATGTCATGATACAAATCCTAGGTTTATGTTCTTACATCCCAACATCTGAGGCAAGTAAGTTGTGGAAATTTCCTAATTTAATTAAGGGTAGGGAGTCCCTTCCAGCCAAACTGCAGATAATAAAACCAGGAGCAATGAAATCATAAATACACAACAAAAATCCACCTACCATTTGCATGTGTGTTAAATGCATCGAACCCAGAGAAGTGTGAAATTTACACAGATATCAAGATCTGGTTTGTATTTTCTAACCAGGGGCACATGAAATGGAAGATAATGAGACCATGGATAACAAGGACCACCCACACTTCGAAAACTATAGTCACAGAAGATAAATGAGAATGCTGTATTTTCAAGTAGCTTCTCTTTAAGAGAAACCTTTCTTTAGGAAATTAGCCATTGAAATTCCTGAGTCCATTTCCTCTTTAGATAGATTCCCCAATTTTCTGTTCCATGCTCTCCATATCAGGACCAACACATACTAAGGGTGGAATTTAAGGACTATCTTTAGTTTTAGATTAACTGATGAAAATATCTATTGGACTTTTGGGTGCTTTTCTTTGAACATCTGTGTTTCTTTTACTTTCAAAATTAATCATGTAGCATGTCAGGGATATTGTTTTGAATTAACAGTTCAAAGCACCATGGACAGATGTAGCATCTTGCACAATTTGTGGTTCCTGGGTCATTAAAAATACGTGTATCCCAGTTCACCGTATGGTTCAGTGGCTTATAACTACAAGAACATCCGTTATTTATAAAACAAGAATTTGTTTTATGCAAAGCAAATTATTATATTCTGTATATAGAATCATATTCTATGTTCCTGTGAAAAATACTTTTTGGGTAAACAATGTCAGAATATCCAGTAACAAACAATTTATTTATTTTTAATTGCTCTATCTTTATCATATTTATATAAAACAAATTAATAAAAAAATCTCAGAATGGTTTACATTAAAACAGATCAAAAGCATTAAAGGAAAAACCAACCCTTTGCCTACATAGCTCAACTCAACAATACATCAATTAAGAAAAATTAAAAATTTAATAAAGCTCACAGTGTCACTAAAAGTTTTATCACTGTCTTATTTAACTTTCTGAATATAACTAAAGTGGCATACAGTAATGAAAATACCCTAATGAAATTACTGCATCATAGATGTTATAGCTATGTATTAATAAATGTGTGCAATCTTGTAACACTATTTGATTTATAGCTTGTATGTTCTCCAAAACTCAAACACCCAGAGAGCTCTCCCTCCTTCATTTTCCCACCTTGGCTGAGAGACGACTGGCCCCAAATCATCTAGTTAGCTTTGAAAGGTTTGTACTGGTTTCCAGTTATTTCTTGGGCCTAATTTTAAAATTGTAGTATTAATGCCACCATTTATATGTCTTTATAGTATAACAATTATATTTTGATATAATTTTTAACGTTTTGATTTAGTATATCTATTAATCATCCTGGACTGGGGATTTGAAGGTAATATTATTAAAAACAAATAAAAAATATTACATTCCCATTTATAACATTGAGATAAATAGTAATAATTAAAAGATCTGAAAAAAAATTAAAAGCACTTTCTTTACTTGGTGCCTACATGTGACTCTCTGAAGAACACATTCCATGATGAGCAAATCATCAAAAAAGATTCACAGTAGTCGTCCATCTCTGCTCATTTGGCAGCAATCCTTTCCCCATGCCCCCAAAGATCTAAGGGTTTAATTTGTCATATATGGGAAGAGGTCTTGATGTTAATATTCGGATTCAAAACTGAAAAAGGGTGTTGAATTAGGTGTGAATGCACTTACCATACCTGTCAGCAGTGACAGGATGTAATCACATACCTCTCTACAACAAACAAATATTTTCCAAAGAGCACATGGAAAAAATGCAAGCCTAGAAAGATGAATGACTTTTTTTAAGGGTCCAACATGTATCTGTGCTGGATTTGAAGCAACTTTCCACTTGAGTTCCAAGTACTGCATGCCTCCAGAAAGACATAAGCTTTTGAGAAATTGACTGGAGTCATTTAAAAATATTTGAAATGGGCCCTTAAATTTGTCTCACAAATACAGTCATAAAAAAAATAATAAAATGATGAACAGTCCACAGATATTCTGAAGAAATTCTGAAGCTATAACTTAAGAGCTCTTCTTCTCACTATGTTACTCTTTTAAAGTTTTGAAATATTTATTGATTTTAGGTGTTTGATATTATATATGCTGATTAAAAAAGAATTCGAAAACAAATAATTATTAAACTGCAATGAAAGGACTAAAATGTTGAACCATAATGCTTACCCCTAAAGCTGGTAATCTCTGTGTGCAACTAACAGCAACTTTTAGTTTCCAGTCTGTCTCTCCATCCAGCTGATCAGTTCGAATAAAACAGGAACCTTAAAATTGCAAAACCAAAACAAAACCCCAAGAACATTACATATTTTAGATTCCACTAAAATAGAAACTGAGCTAAGCTATGATTTTTTTTTTTATTGAAGTCTCCTACAATTCTATCACTGTTAATTCTGGTAGAGCATAAGACATAAAGAAAAAAAATCCTATAGACAGTTTTACTAGTACTATATTTCAGATTTAAAAACACTTCTATTTTTAAAAAGACGGAGTACAGTCTGTACAAAATAATTAACTTCTAGAACATACAGAGCAAGCATTTTTCAGACAGTTATTGAAACTGAATACATTGTAAATAAGTATAAGACAACATGAGAACATTAGACTCCTGTAGTATTTTCTAATCAACAGTCTATTCTCCATCATACTTTGCAGATACAAGGCATTTCATGGTTCTCTTTACCCTTCCTGTCAATGACTGCTCTCATCCATCAATTTCATTTAGAATTATGCTATAGATCAATGCAGTTCAAGACCAGTGTGGCTCCTCTGAATGGTTGACTGCACATATATTCATTTAATAGAGCTCACACTATGACATGTATCGGCGAGCCGCATTTCCTCTCCACTTCAGCAGTTAATTTCATCAATAACTTATCTCATAGTCCGTTTCCCTTTTATCCAGAAAAAGAGACTGGTTTGTGCCAACTCAGCTTTCAATACTGATCACTACAGCAAAACCTAAACAATAAAATGTCCCCCTACCCAGACATTTTAAAATCATTCTTTAGCACCATTGGCAAAAGACTTTTTAATGTACATGATAAACCAATTCTTAAGTTTGCATAATGAAGTTTAAAGAGCATCAAATTATATAGGCAATACTAAAGATTATGAGAAGCAACTCGTGCCAAAAGCATTTACTCTTATTTTCTTTTACTTATAATTTACATAAAAGTTTATTCTGATTTAGTAATAGAACAGACCCAATGACATCAACAGAATATCACTCCTATTTAGTTTAGTGTTTCAAAAACTGGGAATCAATCCACAATTTGCACATTATATTTTATCAATGTATCCATTGTCAAACTGTACTTGCTAATCAAGTTTCTTAATGACAATAATATTTTATGTATAATAAGTTCTATTGTATACCAATCTTTAGATTTAGAAATGTCAGAGAAATATGATTTTTTTTTATCTCATTGTTTTTTATCAAACAGTTAAAAACGAAATTTGGATTCTAAAAGGTTTACAGCACAATGAGGCATTTGTTTGATTGTTTCTGTGTATGCTACAGAATTGGTGGAAATTAGTATGTATTCAAAAAATAAACTACTGCACAGAATTAAGTCATACCACTATATGCATTATTGTATTATTACAATCTTTTTAAAGCTCAGAACAATTTATATTGCTGTAACATTCTACATACATTTAATTACAATAAAACTACATCAGTGATTACTCCTATCCCTTATCAATGCCAACTAGTTTTTTAATCTTCTGGTGTTAATCAGTGCAAAAGCAATTTTGTAAATAAGCTCACAAAAGTTTTGAGCTAACAAAAGTATTAGCAACCTGTCTGCTGAACCATTTATGAGATTTTAAAGTCATTTTGGAAAAAAGACACATTTCCCTAGCAGCTACTCATGGCTGTTTGGGGAGAGAGAAGGTTCTAACTTACCAAAACTGAACTTGTGCTCAATATGGCATGTGTTTAAAATAAATTGTGCCCAAGCTTGTTGGTGAAATTATTTCTTTCCAGCTACTTTTCTTTCATCTGAACCTGGATTTATAGCTGGTGACCAGAACTCAGCAAAATAATCTACATAAGTATAATCTCTAAGTATTAGTATTTTAAAGTCATCTGAGTGCCAATTAACAAATCTGAATTACAACAAGTCCAAATGCCACAATTTCCTCTTAACATAACTGGAGCTGAAATTTAAATGGACTAGTTTTACACTTTTCACTGGCATTTTCCCTTTCCAAAACCAAAAATCAACAACTCAACCCAATGAACATTTACTCAGAGTAAGTCCCACGTTGTTCTATAAGATGTGAATGAGTAAGATCACAGCCTGTCATTAGTCTAACTTATTGGGCCATAGCTGACAAAAAGGATACAAGCAGCAAAGCTCTTCATAAAATAAAATGAAAGCTGCAGGCATTAAAGAGCTGGCTTGATAATTGATGAGAGTTCAATCAGCACAGAACTGAGCATGTCTGATTGATTTTTATTTATTTTTTAAAAGGCTAGAATCATCCTGGGGAATGTGCTGCAAATCAGGAATTTTGTATAACCACCTGGGGGCACTTTCTAGTCACCCATGGCAACCAGGCAAGATGTTAATGAGAAGTCCAAGCAAAGAGATTATTTGATAAGCAAAGAGATATTATTTGACTCTGTATCTAATTTGAGAGTTTTAAAAACCTTGTTTGCTCTCTTACTTAACAGCAAATGCAATAGTTTGAAAGGACAATTCTGAGCACAGTCTTGCATAATTTCAAGAAATAGAATCTGGAGAGATAAGCTACTTTATAACACAGATACAAGCCATCATCTTACTGATTATTCTTCCTTTTACAAAAAGAAAGCCTGCAAATGGGGAGTAAACTAACAGGGAATGTCAGAAAGACTTAAGAATGTTGATCTTAATTTAGTATTAAAGAAATGGTTCACTTTTCAAGCCCCTCACCTATTTTCAGAAATGGTTCTACAGTATTCCAATTAGCAGTAATTTATTCTATTTTGTTAAAATAGTTCACTGTTCACTGAATTTATGTTGGTTTTATACCATATCCCTTAATATTTAGATTTTTCTCAATCACATTTAAGATACAGGAAATGTTGGGAGAATGCCATACAAAATTACATGTTCACTTTTATTTCCGCAGAAATGTAGAAGCGTGAAGTACATTAACCAGAATATGCTCACAGCAAAACAATAATATTCACATTACATAATGTTCAAATATAGAAGAAATTAGGAAAATTTGAAATCCCTTTAATGCTATTTATAAGAAGGAGACATACGCCTTCAATTAAAGCTTTATTGATGGTTCTCGAATTTTCTGTCATTTGCAAGAAAGTGCGGCACTACAGATTTAAGCAAAAAAAAAAAAAAAAAAAGGAATTTCGGAGGAGGCAGAGGCACACATGGAGCAGCAGACTGTAACTCCTTAAACCAAACCTATCTTTTCCTAGGTTTGCTATGGAAGCTACACAATCTTAAGACAAGACGCTGCTTCAAAGAATGCAAGTTCCAAACCATCTTTCTGACTTCCAGCATAGCTTTAATTTATAAAGTGTTTCTTTCTAACAAGACCAGAGGCATGACTGAAGAACAAGCCTCAGGAAAACGTTGATCTTTCCCTTTCCAGCAGGGGTGTTCAGCTCAAATTCAGAATTTACAAGTACTAGTAAGTAACTCTGCAATTCTAAACTTTTGAGCTTTGGAGCTATATCTCTAAAACACTGGCAATATGGAAGCATGGAAAAAGTGTACAAGTTATTCTGTTCTGAGGAGAAAAAAATCTCTGCAAACATTGAAGATAATTTGCTGACTTAAGGGCCACATGATTGCAACTTTCACCTTTAACCATTTTGTTTTTAAAATATTGATCTACTTTTCAGGTTTAACAAATCTATTAATGTTTCTTAGTTCTTAAAATACTAACCTTATACTAATCAGGCATTTTTTTTAATGAAATAGCAGAATATATATCAAGAAACAATCTCATGAAAATGCAGGGCTATCATTAAGTGGCTTATTTATTCATTTATTCAATTTCCATAGCTACCTATCTCAGACTTTGGGCAGCAAACCGTTATAAAATGTTAATTTGACTATAATATTTTGCTGTAATCTATTGATTCAGAGGTCATATACTTATAAGAATATATCATATTTTAATGCATTCCAGTGATCTTGGAAATGGTATATCTATTAAAAAAGAAACTAAGATCTGCATTTGCCTACCCTAATTTGATAAGTTACTAAGATCACAATAAATCTCAGTACTTTTTGGCAGCTGATTCTTTTGGATTCATATTCATTTAAACAGAGCCTAATAGATTCCTGCTTACATTTGGAGTAAGCAATATCATGGAAAGCACAGAAAACAAAGAAATTAAGTACATAATAAAAGAAACGGAAATATAACTAAATATAATTTGCACTAACACCATTCATTAAACATTCCATAGCTTTTTTCATTCGTGCAAACCATCTGTTTCTACCACATCCATACTACAATGAATACACTACTTTTTGTTCTTTTAAACTTCTCACCTCTCTCCCTTTTCTTTCAAAGGTGCTTTTTTTCTTCAAAATGCAACTGGATTGCATTTTCCCTGAGGAAGAAGAAAACGTTTGGCTTCACATCCAAGAAGCTTCATCAGTTCTGATGGCGGCAGGAGGGGGGGGGGCGCTTCTTCTTCCTCAAGGAGAAGCGTTCTTCTTCCTCCTTTTCTTTGAGCAGGTTTTCTTCTTCCTCAAAGAAAAAACAGTTCCAATGTCTTTTGAAGAACAAAACACCTTTGAGACAACTATGACTTGGATGACTGAGAATCTCAACAGATACTCTCTCCCTTTTAGGATGTAGTTCATTCCATCCAGTAATGACTTTCTTGGTCTTTCCTATCCTACCAATCCATTCATTCTTCCTTCTTTCAGGCATTTCCTCTAGATGTTTTATCACTTTCTACTACATTTGTTCATTTCATTTTCCCAGTCAAGCATAACTACTTTTGTTTTTCATGCATATTTCACGTCCACCCTTCTTATTGCATCCGTATACAATATACAATATTTTCAACATTTGCTACAAACAATTTGGATTGCTATCCAGTCACACGGCATTCTCTCTATACAATGTACACAAATATTCACATCCCCAACCAACACACATGTCAAATGTAACAAGCATTCATTATGTATCAATAAATACATTGAATGAGAGAGAACATAATACACCTTTGTTGTACTCATTTGTCATTTCAAACCATGTGCTAAATATTTCATTTATTCGCCCA